TGTCGACGGTCGAAAATTGAAACTTGGAAACGTGCACACGTTAGCGCATACACATTTACTCTGTACTTTTTTTCTCTTGCTCTCTGTGCAGGCATTTGAATCCATCCGTTGAATGTATTCTTGTGTGTTTTTTTTAATTATGAGCGAGTATTTTCACCTTTTATCGTTTCCATTACAAATGTTACATTAATATTATTCCATTGTAACTATGAATGCGTTGCATAATCAATCAAACTTCCAATCTATTGTTTACGGCAGGAGAGAAAAAATACGGTTTATTTCAATCGAAAGTTTGTAATGTCAAAAGAGCACTTATGATGCGCGCTGCTGAACGATGATGAATTCGAATCGATATGACCTGTTTCATTATTTTCAAATTGTTATATTATCACAAATGGATTGGTGAATAATTTATAATGCGAAAAAAAGCAATGCAACGTCCCAAGCCATCAATTTACTCGATCTCTGCCATTTCGGTTTTATTGATACCCGCTTCGTATGTGACCTTCTTACGTTTTATTTCACCAGAGAAGCCAGAGAATCAATACCAATAAAATATAATGTACTGCGATGCTTGGCAATAAATCATCTTAGAAGCAAGCAGAGTTATTTGACGCCGAGTGACACCGAAAAAGAATAAATATGATGATATCAAGGATAACGATGATACTGCTCGAAAAATCTATCTCAACATGATTTCCTTTTCATTTGTCGTACATTTGCCTCGAGAAAATGACAAAGTTTCTCCATTATATCCAACTGATACACATCATGTGCGTTTCATGAAAACCGTAACACGTCGTTTATCGATCGAATTTATAGCACCGCTGATGCGTACAAAACTACAATATTTAGCGTTTTATTGGCATGTTTTTACATTGCAGCCACATGTGTCTGATCGCTTGAAATTATATGCGAACGAGTGAAGAAATAATAATAAGTATAAAAGACATAAAAAAAACAATTTCACATCAACGCTCATTCGCAGTTGAACTACAACCATAAAACGGTGCTTTTTTCGTTCAATCTCTTTTTTTTTCTTCTTTTCGCCCAGAGATTTCTCAGTGTGGAAATGTCAGCGAATGAAATCGCCAGTTTCAATCGAATATGCATTGCACATGTTGCCACGGTATGTTTCTGTTAAATGCAGTAAAAGGTGAAATGAAAACGTGCAAAAAATAACCATCGTAAATTTGTTAGGCATTTACAATTGGAACAACAACAATAACAACAGCGGAAAATTGAACACTGATTTTCAATCGATTCAAGTGAGTTTCAATCACGTTCTCGCTCTCTTTCTCTTTCTCCCTCTCAAATGTATATTGTACGTATTCAATTTGAAGTATTGTGAAGTATCATTTTGTCGAGTTAATTCTACAAGATCATGAAAAAGTGGTTTTTTTTATCAGGTGTATGATTACAAAATGCCAACCAATTACGTTGCCATTGCTGAAAAATATGCGAGTTAAAAAAAGGGAAGAAAAATTTCCATAAGCACAATAACCGAGACTAAATTGGCATTAAGTTTACTGGTTGGCTGGCTGGCTGCAAACGACCGTGTACCGTGACGTGCGATGTTTCAGTTCATGCAAACCTCTTTCTCTTTTTGGCTTTCGGCACCGCATATGTGCACTTCACAGAGTTGAACCGAACCAAAACCAGATTGCCAATGTAGTACGTAAAAATAAATGACCGTAAATCCAAGCTGTTACTGTCGTTCACTTGGATGCTGCTGCTTTGTTGGCTGCTCAGTATTGGATGCTGTGTGTATTATCTCATCCATCGTTAAGTGCATTTCGATTATTACCTAATCAAAGTAGCAGCAGCAGCAACGCCAACCGAAAACTGGAAGAACCAGAAGAAGTACGGAAAAAATCAACGGCAAATTAGTGGAAAAAGTGATTGCACTGGTTTTATAATATGTGGGTGAAATGGATGTTGTATTTTCAGAGCATCGAAAGTAACAACCTGAGCATCGAAAGTAACACCGTTGCTCCAAAAACAAAGATATGTTTCAGTTTACCGAATTTAGTTCATGCGTCAATGGCATGTGTTTGCCTCGCTGCGTTGTTTAGTATCAATTTCATTTTATACAAAATACGTAATTTTCTCAGCGCTTTTCATTGTTGATAATAATAAATCTCCATATTGTATTTACTCCAGTTTACAAATAAAATCGCAATTTGAATACATATCGCTCAAGTGCCAAATTGGTCAAGGCCATTCGTTATTATTGAGATCGATACACACATTATTATTTTTATGCAAATTCAAACGGCTTCTGATTGCGGAACGAGCGCACACGCATTCAATGAACTCGGAAAAGGTAAACAAATATATCGATGTTACACTTTGGATCGATTTAACCTTTACCTGTTTATTATCTTTTGTTCAAAATTTCATCATTATATTACCAATCGAAGCCTGTACAGGGGAATCAATGTTGAACAAAAAGAAAACCGTAGCATTTTGATAAGCATTTTAAAAGTGAATTTAAATTGAAAATTCCATGTTGAAAGCGTCACATTCTTCATCAATTCACTTCGCTTCATTTTCAAATGAACTAACATTAACTTGAGGTCTTCTTGGAATCGTTGATTTGATTTACTTTGTCAAAGGAAAGATTTTCGTTGCCCATTTTTCGGGCGACTGGATGTATAAATATATATATGTATTCAGAAGCCCAAGCATGAGATCCATCACGAAAACATGACAGCACAACGTAGTTAGCATCTTGATGGAAGTGTTGTTGTGAGGGGGCTTTGTTGATCGTGGAAAATGAACAAACTGCCTAACTTGACAACTGCCACACTTCCGCTTTGTGCCAGCGTTGTATGCACATAAAGTTCGTATTGCCTACAGATATTTGTGCTTGGAAGCAAAAAAACACACACCTTCTTGATAACAAGTTTATATATATAGTTGAAGTTTCTCTTCGACTATTTGCTACACAATCTTTCGATGAATTATCAGAATTGAAATTTCACGCTCTGTGTAGCGAAATGCTATCGAATACATATACATTCTTATGAAGCTCTGCGGGAAGCCAATGAAAGTTGAATGAAAAGCAAAAATTGTCAGAATCAACGGAAAATTCTTTGTAATGCCTTGTTTGAATGTATGTCAAATGCAAGATAAATCGATGCGATAGGATGCCCAAAGAATGAACCGAAATGTTCTCCCACCAAGCCAAACATTGCCCTGTTGCTATTTTTCTATAGCCATAACATCGATCGAATGATTCTATGAATTTGTTTGAACGCTAAAACTGTTGGAAATTGAATAATCAATGAACTGTTTCGTCATCGTTACGATTTTCCGAGAAAAAGTCAGATCTAATGTTTACTTTGCTCTCTTTTCTCTCTCAATGGATGTTACAAACAAAAACATCTTTCGATATTTTCATGTACGTACACACGCACGCTTCTTCGATGAGGTGCCAAATTAGGAAGCGTACATCGGATGCTTATGTGTAATTTAATGTTGACTAACAATATTAATCTTGAACTTACTCGACACGCCTCGAACTCGACTTTTTGCTCACCAAAATGGCAAAAACACGAGAGAGAGAGAAAACGTGTCAACAACTGTGTGTGTATGTCTCAATATTATGCGATGTTACGCGGCTTCTGCAAGCCAAAACATACAACCAAATGAATGATGCGAAACATGAAAAACTCGTGGTGGTTAGAAAATCACACGTAGTGAGAGAATGGGCCAAAGCTGATAATGATGAGGATAGGCAGTTTAAAAATACGAGGTGCTTAAAGCGTATCCTTTTATTATTATTTCTTAGGCGTCGTGCATATATATCCATTTGGTTTTCTCATGGACTGCTAGTTTCAAGTCACATAATACTAAACGCATCCATTCTTAATAGGAAAACAATGAAAAATTAATGGGTGCGTTTAATATTATGCAGCATTTACGTGCATTTACGTTCGACACTAGCAGTCGTTGGGTTTTCTTCTTCTTTATTTCGGAGAAATAACTCGTTTTTGTATTCCATGTAATCATACAAAGTGTGCAAATCGAACGTCAAATACAAGTACACGATGGCGTCAAAGCCTATATACTCAGCGATGCACGTCACCAGTTTATCGGCTGGTACACAGTACATTTGACCAGTTGCGACTTTGGTCAAACATTCGTTGTTGCGAATATGCATCAAAGCATACTGTGACTCGTGTATATGGTTTACCAGTTAGACCGTTTATGCATGGCGCGCGACTTCTCACGAAGTGGTGCTTCGTCTCAGTTCGCGCGCTGTGCACACACGCTGTAACTGGTAAACCATATACTGGAGTCACAGTATGCTTTGATGCATATTCGCAACAACGAATGTTTGACCGAAGTCGCAACTGGTCAAATGTACTGTGTACCAGCCGAATAACTGGTGACGTGCATCGCTGAGTAATGGATATAATGTATGGAAAAAATAAAGAAAAAATATTGAAAAAAAAACGTTATCATCTGAAACATGCCGACATCATCAATTTACTCCAGACTCTTTACAAAATAAGTATACTTAGCGACATCTAATAAATAAGATGCGCGTATTGGGGAAAAAAATATTGAAGGTACGATGGTAATATTGAATTATGTCAACTTAAAAATACAATGGAAGTGTTGAGAGTGGATAAAGTGTGATAAGAATTGCCGAAAAGCAGCCAAAAATTGCTTTCAGTGCGTCTGGCAAGCTAGAGAGAAAGCGAGGGATAAACTGAATAAAAAAAACTGCTATGATCTGCTGAAATCATTGCACGTAACGGTTCGTATCATTGATTTCTGCTTTGTTAGATCAGTTTCAGTGGTGGTTTTTTTATTTATTTTGTTCGCAATATTTCGATACACTCCATCGTATATACGGGCGAGTGGTGATGGTCGCGGCCAGAGAGTGAGCGAACGGGAGAAGCGGTGGCCATATGATCTGAGAGCTCATCGGCTTTCAGCTATCACGTCGAGGTGGGATTGACGTTTCGAATGTCGAGTGTGGCTTTGTGTTACATATTTAATGGAACTCGATGACATTGTTTATTTCAGTGCATTTTTAACATCGCTCAATATCGTTTGTGAACGCTCTCTCTCTGTCGTTACCGTGTAGAAGTGAGTTATAAAAAAAAGAAGCAAACACATTGCCAAAAAACCGACCAAAGACCATATTCGTGTTAATAAAATATTGACAGTAAAAATTCGAAACATTAAAAATATTTTGTGTTGTGCGATACGTCACCGCAGTACAACATTATTTGTGCAAGAATAAAAAACCAACTGACATTTTTCACTTAGAAAAAGCGAAAAACATAATAAAAAATGGAGGTTTGTATTTTATTTGGTCATTAATTAATTTTATGTATCCGTTTGTTCAGTGCATTTTATTTTTATTACTATTGTTGAACAAATAAAATTTATTCAATCTGAATTCGTGTCCAGGGGAATGGCTTCAAAATATCAAGCTCAGCTCGTAGAAAGTGTTTGCGTTTATTTTATCGATTCCATTCAAGTCAACTTCAATTGATGATAATAGAGGTTGACATTGCCGGAGGGTCGCATTTAAGAGCAAAATGCGCTGGTAAATTGTATCGCAAAGCTCAATGCAATGATAATGATTTCGAACAATTATTCTGCAATCACGTTTCAAAGGCATGCGAGCGAGAAAAAACTCGAAGCAGTTCATTTTTCTAATCATAACTGACATCGACCAGCATCACCGATATTTCGTCTCGTGCAGTTTCTTTCTTCTTCTTCTCTTTTTTTTGATTCCCAGAACTGCTTTAATCATTGCCGTTTTTTCTGCCTCCTTTGAGCTTCCGTTATGATCAAGTTATTGCGTAATAATTGAATAGAAAATTGTACATCGAAGGAAGAGCTTGTAATTTTTTACTCAAAATTTCCTATTCAAAAGCAACGTTACCCAATCCAACGCTTACCATTAAATGTCACGTTTAATTTTGCTTTTTTTCGTTAATTATCGAAAGTATTATCTTGTCAGTGGACCATAACAGTGGAATGTATTATCGTGTCAGAATCAGCGACAGTAAGTCCATGTTCATGTACATACGATGTTCATGTTCAAATCGCTCATACCAGTCTCGTATATATGGTCATTACTCGAATGCATTGCAGCCGCAACAACAACAGCAGCAGCAGCAACTGAACTTTCTCTCGCTCTCTGTCACGACCGCGCGTACCATGATGGCTTTCATTGGCATTACTACGTTGATGTTATTTAACATTCAGGTCAATTGATTGCAGTGCATTGCACGCCTCTCCACACTATTTTACTGGTTTTTTTTCCCTATATACGGTAACGCGCGGTGGCAAGCGTATATGAATACAAATGAAATCACATTGTGTTCGCTTGCTCTTTTGCTGCCATCATGCACATCATTTTCAATTTCAAATTTTCAACAAATCTCTGGTTTCGCAACACAATCACGGCGAAAATAGTCTCGACATACTCACGGTTCTATACCTTTTTCAAAAGATGAAGCAGACGAAAAACACACGCGCCATTAACAGGCCCATGAATTGTTTTGCTGGTGAAAATTAAGTCTTCAATTTTTTTTATTTTTTTTTCAAACGAAATATCAGAAAAGTTAGGCATTTGCTTTGGCCATCGAGAGTCCCATTAAATAGGGTTGGAAACTTCCAACAAGAAACCTATCTACGTTTTATTGCGTTTAGACGCCATCAAAATGACGCAAAAACACACTTTTTGCTTTGTGCTATTCAATGGGAGATAAACATAATTTCTAATCAAAACTTTGCCGGTTGGCCATTGAAATGGTCCGCGTAGATTTCCATTGTTTATAGCTTTTGGTAGCTCTGTCTCTCCAAAAAAAAACTGAAGTTGGCTTTCAACGTAAATTAGATAAAATTATAACCATTATATAATATGACACCAACTGAAACACTGACACTTTTTTCAGCTGTTGCCGAAAAATTCAAATAAATGGGCCCATTGATTGCATTATTAAAATCGCTGAATTACACAAACAAACTAGTTCTGAAGTACGTTGTTATACATATTTCATTTGTGGAGTTATAATTTTTTATGGTGAATTCGTTGATGACCCTCAAATCGCTTCGGCCCCAAAATTTTATTCGTGTTGTTTATCCATCATGCGCATGACGTTGAGTTATTACACGTGGAGCAATAGCATATCAAATCTTTCTCCCATGGAAAATCCCAGATTATCTCTCTCTCTCTCTCGAAATCACAAATTATATGCTACCATTTCGCCACTCAATTGGACTTAATCGAATTGAGAATTGAAATGCGGCTAAAACACATGATGAAATCAACCGAAAGACAGACAGCATTTTCACAGACAGCAGCATACAGTTGTTGCAATCGCAAATTGCGATTCAATTGTCGAAATGAAAAAACACCACGCATCACCACACAGCATAACAAAAACCACACAAACAATTTGTGTACTTGACAGTGAAACGCAACCAAACACACCGAACAGAACTTGTTTGTTGCGGATTTTGTGATAGATATGAAAAATCCGAAAGCGAAATATGAAAATAGACAACTCAATCAAAAAATAATCTGAGCGTAATGATGAACATAATTCTTTTTTCGGTCAATTGAGTTTGTCAAATTTGATGTTGTGTTGGGTGTGAAGAAATCATTTTCACTTGATATTCTATTAAATACGTGAAATCGTATTAATCAACGCAATAGTGATGTAAGTACTCTCAAGGAGAGTGAGACATAATCGTTTATCTAAATCACAAATAGAATATTTCGACAGCCTCTCTGATCGTCTGTACAAACAGATAGGAAGCGTCAAACAAGAACGATAAAGCGGCTGGAGACTGGCTAGAGAAATAGAGAATCATGCATATAGTTTGCTACAACAAGTACGCATCCGTGTTAGTGCGTCTGTGTTAGTTCAAACGTTTGCACTTAGTCCCCAGGCGGCGCTGTATTGTTTACTATTTTCATAATCAGAAAGGCTGTGTTTCGCAATTTGGAAAATTCTGGAACATTGACGAAACCGTGTCGAAAAATGTGACAAGAGTAATCAAATAATAATGATGATAAATTGTTGAGGCGAAATATTGTGATAATTATTATTGTTATTGCTGAAATCAGACACTCTGTATCTGAACAAAAAAACATCAAGCTTGGTGACGACTGAACAGAAGATTGAGAGAGTCTCTTCAATCATACTTGATGTTGATCGCCAATTCGAATCGAAGCCAAATCAAATCAAATTAATTCAATGGGTTCTGAAATTTGTTTTCTTCCTATCCCCCGGACAACGAAGCCTTTCATTTGATTAAGAGAATGATTGACAAACTGTCACAACATTGTATTTACGCCATCGATTGACTTCTATATTCATGTTTATTCATGTTCGGAAATCTTTTTTTCTTTGATATAGCAATCAATCACCTTTGCCGGTCTTCTTTTGTGCATTTCATTGGCATCTGCCCAGCTGACATACCATTTGGACGCTAATACCAATTCATATACATTGCAAACGCCAAACTCACAACAAACGTTCACACAACACTTCAACAAAGGGCGAAGTGGTGTCGCCAACCAAGGCGCCGCCGTTCATCAAATTCAAGCAGCCCCAAGCCAACCACAACAACAGGTAATGTGAATATTATTGCTGGAATATTTTTTTACTCAAATGCCACCGATAAATTCTTTACTTTTTGGAGAGAATATTCGGTTTTTTTGCCCTAATGTATGTTTCAACCGTGAAACATTCCCAACGAGTGAAATGGTTTTGAATAAAATATCTCCTAAAATGTCGCCAATTTTTTCGGCATTTACATTTATCACGACAGCCATTGTGGAAGCATTAAGGAGTATTGCTATGGATTTTCAGAAAAATGTCACATCCGCCCATCATTAAAATAGGATAAAATGCGAGAGTGCTGTCCATTGTATTTGCATAACGGAAAGAATTTTATTTTCAAAAACCGCATGAACAAATAAATCTATTGTATTGCGAAATGAATGAATATCTGTTATTCATTCATTTAAGCGGCTTTCAAAGTAGTCATATGTTTTTATGGACCATAACCCAATTTCCGAGAAAAATATCGTTTCATATATTTCGGGTATTTTCACACTCACACTCGTTTCTCTTCTTTTACCACACCCTTTTCCACGCTCTGTCTTTAGTTTTAATTCTCTCCCTCAATCTCTCCTTCTCGTTCTTTCTTCTCTTCCTCACTTTCCTTCCTCTCTTCCTCTCTTTCAAAAGTCCCTCAAAAAAGTAACGCCATCAAAAGTTCATTTTACAGACAGAGTTGGACCGAATAACGATATATTTCGCATTTTCCAAAATATCTTACGTTTCATATTTCTCGTTCACTAATGGAATGACTGTTATTTCATAGATATTTTCCACTGCCCCACAACAATTTGCCAGCAATCAAAATAATGGTCAAGAGGATATAAATAACTACTTCAGACAACAGTTAGAGTTGCAGCAACAACAGCGCCAAAGCGAACAACCGCAAAACAACAACTTGTACACAACATATCAAGTTCCAGAACAACAACAACAACAACGCCAAGCTCAGCAACAGCAACACCGACAAGCCCAGCCATCACAAGAAGACGTTTATTACCAACAGGTGAAAATTCCAAGCTAAAAATTACTCACTTTAATACTTTATTGCATCCATTATGTTCGGCCATCACGGTCGAATGGGCAAAGTTTAATCTGTAAAGTACTTACATTCAATTTGTGTTGGATACTCATCGCTGAAAGCAATGCTAGGTTAAAATGCTGCAAACACTAATTTTTACGGTTTTAGTTCAAACAATTAAAAGTTCCCATTATAATAAAGTTGTCATGGGGTTTTCAGCAAAATTTATGTCTATCGGTAGTTCTAATGTGTGGAAAATGGTTCCTTTTTCTCTTCGTAGATTCGGCAAGCTCAATTACAAGAGCAACAACTTCAACAATTGCAACAACAGCAACAGCAACAACAACAACAACAACAACAACAGCTTCAACAACAGCAACAAGAATATCAACAACAACAACAACAGCCTCAGTATGCTCAACCAGCTCAACAACAATTCGCTTATCAACAGCCAGACTTTGCTGCTGACAATAATGTTAACCAAGAAGCCGTACGATTCGCCCAATCACAACAATTAAAATATCAACAGCAACAACAAGCTCATCCAGGCAACCCAGGCCGTGTTCAATTCTCACCTGCCAGCGAAGTATCACAAGTCAAGTTCTCCAGTAATCTGGCGAGCTACAACTTCTAAATGGGGGGAATAGTGCCATGACTACTGATGCGATGATATTTAATAGCACTCATAATTTTAGCGTTGTCGACTTTATTTAATATGTTTCCATTCATTCCTCTCTTTTTCTTATTATTGAATACACGTAGCGAGAATCAAATAAATTGACTTTTGGGAAAAATGATAAAAATAGTTGAGTGTGAAAAGTTATTCAACAAGTTCTTGGTAGATTGATTCTGAAGTATTTGTAATACATTTCGCCGAAATTGTTTGCGCAACAGAATTCTGAGGCATCATTCAAGATGCTTTCAAATAAATTATGTCAATTGATAAAGTGCTACGTTTCGGAATTTCAGATGCAAACTACATGCATGCTTAGTTGTTACAAAATTCAAGTTTCGTCAAGAGTTCATTACATGAAGTGGGCCCAGAATTGATTGTCGAACGAAGCCAAAGTCGATGAGATCCCTTTTTCCTTTTCGATGAGAAAGGTGTTGAAAGTGTTTTTGTTTGAAATAAAACCCTTTGGTTTGCAATACAAAATATTTCTTTTTATTAACATTCATATGCTGGAATAAAGACGAAAATATATCAGATACTCAGCTTCTTTTTTATTATCTCGCGACATTCCTTATCCGAATACCATCATGTTAAAATATATTTATATTTGTACAAGTATACACTTGACTCTTCTTTTGTGGGTTTGTTAGAATGTTAAACATGGACAAATTGTTTTACTCAACATTAAATCTCTCTTTATAATTCAAAATATAGTGTTTAAATCTGTGTGTTAATCTGTACTATGGATAAAATTCTTGTTTTTTTTTTCAACAACTACAAATGTTTTCAATGCATTAAATGGATTTTTGTTTATTATTTGCATTTTGTTAATTTTAAGCTTATAAAAATTCCAGGTTTTTTTTTCTCTTCTTCTTTCTTTCTTTCTTCCTCTCGGGTTTTAAATGAAAATGTTTTTTTAAATTCCATTCTACGAAATGGAAAAAAAACATTGTTTGCGGATATTTTATGATGAATCACCCGAAGGGAATTCATTCAATGTATTATACCATGTTTGATTGAAATATTTTCATTTGTTTGTTTATTTCTGTATGTTGATTTCAATCAATCATTGATATGAACTCATTAATCGAAGAATACGAGTCAATCAGTTTCGATGGAACATGTCGATGGTAACAAAATGATCATATCACTCATTTGAAGAAACAATTTGAATTTAACCGTTTGATACGTGCTCTTGGCAACAATAGCGATAAAACTGAAGCAATAACAAAAATAAACTGGCGAAACCAATTGATATTTAATTTAATATTTTTCGTACATTGTGCCAACAACAAAAAATGAATTTCAATTGTTTTTCCCATTTTTTCCCGATAATTTAATCTCCCTTATGATTTAAATAATCCTTTTGTTCAACTTGTTTGATTTGTATATTGGTTTTACGCGACGACAGAAAAAAAACGTAATCTAAAGAATTTTACATATAACATTTTAATTCCTTTGTATTTACACAATACATTGTTTCTCAATAGGTTACTTTATACGGTTAAATGTTAATCTCCATTCGAAATGTTGGTGCCGTTTAAAAAAACAGTGCTGAAATTTACAATCACATTCACCTGATGCTCGCATGCCGTCATGCCGTTTGCGTGGCACTGTGTGCGTTCACTCAATGATTTCATTTACATTTCAAACGGCCATTGTGAAACTGGTCGTCAGGTTTCTATTGAAACTGTAACACATTTCAAACGATGACTTTTGACGAAATTTCTGCGAAACGCAACACAAAACGTCCAAATTTATTGAAATAGGTTGACATTATCGTCAAAATTTAAATCGATTACTATGGTGATTCGCACTCACTTCCGTTGAACTGTTGCTTGTTTCAACCTCCTGGAAATGGTGTATTTTTCCTTTACCTCGTAGCTTAACCACTTTTGCGTCGTGAAACCGTAATTGGATCAAAGTTCAAAAGGCATCTTTCTTCCGCATTCTTTTTTTTTCTATTCACACAATCGTAATCGGAAATATTACACTCTCTCGGTTAAAGCTGTTCTGCCAACATTACAAAAGTCAAAGTTAAATTACATAATTCATTTAAGTATCTTTTCTTTGTATAAATAAATAGGTCTTTTCAAGATCGTACGGTTTGTTCGAGATGACGTTGCCAGGAAAAATCAGTGGGACAATGAAAGGAAATGAAGAAATCAACAGAAAAGAAAAAAAAATGTCACAAAGCATGAGGCTTGTGCCAATGGGAATCGATAACTCGCTTTGGTATGAAATCATTTCAAACGTAATACAATGACACTTGGTGCTGCGAAGTGAAATGAATAGATGAATGAAATTTTAGCTGTGATTTTGGTTCATCAGATCGATGAGCATCGCATGTAAATCATGGCATCGGCAATCAAGATCCATGTGACATGTTTCCAAGAAATTTTACATTGTTGTAACATGCTCTTGGCCATGGCCATAGCGCACCCTAAATTCTATTCCACAACTATTGAATCGGTTCGAAAACACATTTCGAGTGTTCTTTTAAATTGCCAATGGTGGCGAGACACTCGGTATATCCCACGGGTATTCATGAGCTCGTATTTAATCATTTGCCGACTGTTTCCATCGAAATCATTAGCATTTTTTACCAAATTGCCTGCGCCATAAGTAATTCAAGAACGTGTTTGTACTGATACGCGCAATTCCAATTTCTACGGCAGTTAATTGAACAGCAGAATCTGCTTCGCAGAATCGCTGACCACTTAAAATTGCTGGATTTTTTCCAAGGTCCACGTGGTTCGTGACTTGCAATTTCAACGATCTGCATCTGCATTGAGTTGGCATAAATGAGGCAAAACCGACCGAACAAAAACAATCTGATTTAAAAGTCAAGTGTTTTTCGTCTGTGTGGAAAAATTTCGAACATTTTGGAAAAATGTGGAACATCAAGCGTATGAAGTGATTGAAATATATTTTGTCAGAGCCAGCTACCTTTTCTCATACCAAGATTATAAATATGTAAATAAATTCAAGCGATAAAAAAATGAAGGAATAAAAGTGGAAAAATCGAAATACCCTTTTTGCGACGGTATCAAAGAGAGAGAGAGAGAGAGAGAGACAGAAAATTATGTAGAATTTTCGTTCTACAAAATGAATGAATCTTTTTCCAGAAGTCTTTATAAAGCACATAAATCAACGATGTTTTTCTTTAATCAAACGGTCTATTGCCTTGCAACGAAAAAAGATTACCCCGTGCTGTCAGTTATATTTTTCCCACACAAATTCATTCGGTTGTGCAAAATGCACCCGACGCTGAATGTAAAACACCTACTCTGGAACTGTATTGATGTAGTATAGCTTGAAATCTTACAATATATAGTTAATGGTTTCACAATTCAATTGTGTGTGTATGTCGTTTGGCATGGTAAATCTTATCATGTAATAAATAGAGAAGACAAGAAGCTTCGCCGGAATTTTCAATAAAAAAAACGATTACTTTGTGCCATTTTCCATCTAGTTTGTTGCATATAAATCGAATGATTTTCGAGTGCCATTTTTCGTTTTTGTGCACGGCGCGCGAAACTATGTTCGGTCTTTTAGTTTTTGTTTCTGTTCATTATCACATTAATTGTTCAATATGCTTGTTGTTGCATTTGGAAATGCAATTAAAATCCACTTCACGCGATCGTTGGGTTGGTGTTTTTCAAGGTTGCCCCAATAAATTAGATTGATTTTGTGTTGGGGAGGGTTGGTAGTGTGCAACAAAACGATAGCCGGATTTATTGCATATTCCATCCGCGCGCAACTTTATACACAATTTAAAATCTATGCTTTAATTACATTGCCTATCTAAAGAAAACAGTAAATGGTTATGCTTAAATTAATCCTATGAGCGAGCAACTTAGGTATTAGATTCCAATTTACACATTTTCCGCATACATTGGTTTTTTTCTGGTTTACTTCACACGAAGGACGAATTCAATTCATTATTTACAGGGAGGATAATTGGTTCGTTTGTTTTTTCTTGTTTTATTGATTCGATGTATCGACTTTAGAGCCTATAGAAACTTGTTGGGTTGTTTTGAATAATTTAAAAATTAGTTTTGAGACTAAAAATATTACAACTATTTTCATTATTTAATTTTAAATTTTAATAAAACATCAATTGCAATTAGATTTAAGGAGTAGTAATCTAGTAATGAATAAAATTGTTAAGGTAACAACCAGATAAGTGTCGTTGCCATCGAAAAGATCGATTGGATCCGACTGAAATGTGTGTTCCGACATTGGAGGGGCCGGCATTTAGCCTGGTTGTGTGTAGATTTGAAAAACTTAGCACTAAACATCTATGAAGAAGGAATTCATTTTGATACGTATCAAAACCCATAAAACTTAGTTACTAGCTGCAGCTGCTGCTGATAGTGTTACCAATGATAACATTACAAGTAACACTTACATTATTATTAACATTCGACTTATGTTACGTTGCCCATTTCGGGTAGCATTTATTAATTAAAATCGAGATATCCAATATGTAAACCAATTTGTGGCTTTTGTTAGATGTGGTATGCCACTTCAAATGCAACACTAGTTTGATTTGAATATTTCGAAAATTTACTAAAGCATTACACCAATTCATTCATGGAATCGTTTCAATAAGTCGCTTGGTTCTATTGACGAGCAAACTTCCATGAAAAACACACACATTCACAAAATGACTGGTGAATCGTCAGTGGTCATTTCCCGTAATGAATTATTTAGGAACATTAGTACAGCCCAAAGTGCGTACACTGATGAACTTCAACAATTTAATTTACACCCGAAAAATTCGCAAAACTCATTTCGTATGAAATTTTATTAGAAAAGTTTACGATACATTTTTTTGGCAATTTGTCCCACGATTTCGACCACTTCACCATGTCAACGCCAATGAGTGCCAAACATTTGCTTCACTTGCAGACACAACAGAGTTCATTTGTAAAGTTGCCGTTACGTAGAACGAAAAGTTTACCATTCAAAAATCAAAGCACAACATTCTAAACAATGGGATCCATTTCTGAACTAAGTGCTCAACTTCATTCGAAAATCCACTTGGTTCCGCATAAATACCAGATTTTTGTGGTTAGATAAAGTGTAAACTTCGAGACAACTTTTGGTTTTGTTACATTATTAAATTGAGAACAACTAAGTATTCAATATTTCGAATGGAAGAATGAAAAACTGGGTAGAATTAAATGTCGGATTTGAATGAGAAGCTCAAAAACAAAACCCATTACACCGGAAAAAGCCCCCAAAGAATAGAATACGAACAAAGTATGGGCATACAGCAAATTGCGTTGGACAAATGTGTGCATGTAGCAACTTGTGCACGTGTTGCCTCATGCCACTCGACTCAAGACTTCATTTCATGTGATTTAAATGATGATTGTTATGTTTCATCCTTTGAGAATCAGACGCCACTCAACGACAACAACAATAAAGAAAAATGAAGAAAAAGTACAGAGCTTTCTCTGACCTATTTATATCGGAGTTTTCCCCGAACGCATGCAACGCGTGATACAGTTCGGTAAGTCTGAGAAATCAGCTTTTGTTTCTGTTCTATATGAAATTTAATATTCTGTTTACCTCGTGTCTATTTTATGAGAAAATAATTAGAAACGACTTGCTTGCATACGAGTCGGTACGGTATGACGACAAAGTCTACAGTGTATGTTCCATATTCTCGGAAGAGAGTCATGTATGTTTCGTAAAAGTGTCGAATATTGACAAAATAATACCATCTAATTGCAAAGTACCAACAAACACTGAATTTTCGTCACCGAGAACACAAACAATCCATATTTTATATGCTTAAAACTTTCTTGCCTTCGTATACGAAGTGTATGTATGCATGCAGATTATTGATGCTCTTGATGGAAGTGTGCACGTTAAACAAACGGCGATTATGGAAATTTTCCACGATATTTCACTTAGTTTAACGCTTAAATCTCATTTAATGGCCATGTTCATAATATTAGAGTGTGCTTGATTCTAATCTTATTATTTGGCATATCGCATCGCTTTGAAACAGATGCTTTATCTATTCGCTGTTTATCTATTATAAATCTCTTGTTCTGGATTCATCCACTTTAATCTCTACAAATGAATGACTAAATCAATCTCCATCTTCACTCTATCCGTATATTACATTTTATTTGCATACATTGAGCCAGTCGTATAGTTGGTGCTGTTGGTAGCCACGATTCGATTGTCATGGATTGATTTGGTGGAGCTTTTGCGCGAATCAATGCTTCGTGCACGTGCGACACGATTTAAATTGCCCACTGAACTGTCGTCTTCAACGCACTGGTGAGCGTCGCTATTTCGTTTGCCAAATGAAGTTTGTGAATTATTTCGACTTCTGGCCGACGGTACATTGGAAGTGACACCACCTCCTCCACCTCCACCTCCTCCGCTATTTGAATCTCGATTACGATTACTTCGAGCCTCTGCAAATTCATTGAACTGATGTGTGAACACGAAATTCGGAAAATTATTCGATTGTTCGGCCGATGTGATGGGCCGTTTTGGACTGGATGGTGCAGTTATTTTCGTAATGTCTGGCAATTTTCGTCGTTCAACACTCGAATTGGTTCGTGTATTTGGCACTTTCTTGCGATAACGTTCAGTTTTCTGCCGTTCACGCTCAATCATTTCGCTCAAATCCACGCTGCGTTCGCGCTCCAACAAATCGATTATATCCATATCGCGCTCGTACGTACTTGACGATTCACGTCTTAACAATAAATTACCACTTTCTGACAGCCTGTCATGGCTTCGATGCGAGTATCGATCGTTGCTAACGCCACTGTAAACGCTCTCACGATCAAAGTTTATTTTCGGTTGTTCGGTCGCCGCGATACTCTCGAAATCCACACCGATTCCACTGCTCGTACTCACTTCATTGCCATTAATATAAGTGCTGGCCGTTATATTCGAACATGAATTATTCATCTCCTCTGATGAACGAGTACGTTCCGGTCGAATGAGGTCCTTGTGTACAGTTTTATTTCGAATGCTCGTTCGGTTTGGATTTGTACGGCTTACAGGCCGTTTTGGTTTCAGTGCATTTGCGGTTGTTGGATTCACTTTACCTGTTGGTTTACTGGTGTGGCTGCCGGTGGTGCTGATAATGTGAGCGGTTTTTGGTGCAAGTGGAATTTTCGCTTCGATATCCAGGGTTTCCGTTGTATTTTCTTGCGTAATTGAATTTTCTATTGAGCGTTGCGATTCCAATTTATTATCGCTATTACTTTGACGTGACGATAAACGGAAATAGCGCCAGATTCGATCTTTTGTCGGTCTGAAATTATTCGATTTACAAAATGGAAATTACAAACAATGTTTATTATTGATAAGTTTGCGCTGGATTTTGGTGCGCATGTCATCTTTAAATGACGAAATACTTTGTTATTTCTTTCTCTTGGCAAATTTTGTGCATTTTATCTCGAGTATTGTTTATGCTTATAGCAAAAGCGAATAATGTTATAAATGCTACGTTCTTGCATCACCGGATAAGCGGAGCGGATACGTGAAAGAAGATAGAAACTTCAGTTTGAAAATGCAGCTCGAAGCATTGCATTAGCTTCATATGCAAATGTACAAAATTAAGCAAATTTTTTCCGGAATTTCACTCGAATATAATAAACAATTTATCAGCTTTTCTTTTAACTTACCCGGATAATATCCACATGGAATACATAACGGGGCTTATGATCGTCGGTAAAAATGCCACCCAGATCAACAGCAAATAAGTTATATCGAAATGCGACGAATTCTCGTACGTTTCATCCATTTGTTGCCGCGCAAATCTACACAAGGACAAAAACACACACAACAACAACAACAAAACATTAGATTGATAAATGTGTTGCACACCCGTGCCAAATAGATAAACTAGAAATCGTGTTTTGTTGTTCTTCTGCAATAGTAAAGCAACCAACAACAGAGAACACCAAAGTCAAATGGCACGTTGGTTAAAGTCATGCCAACTTGAAAAGTTGAAAATTTCGAAAATTTATTTAGGTATTTTTTCCATTTAAAATAAAGATTTCGGCACAAACGGCGAGATGTAGATATAGCCAAAAGCAACATAGTACGTGCTCGCCAGTATTATAAATGATGGCAGAATATTAGAAAATATCTTACCGTAAAACCATCAAAGGACCGATACAAATGATTTCACATGCAGCCATCGTGCCCAGTAGATATTGTGTGCGCTGTTCTCGAGTTGCATCCGTCTGTGCATCGTACAAGTCGTATGAACGCCCATAGCTGGTTCGACTACGTGTCGACGATGTCGTTGAATGTCTGCAGGCATTTTTAATAGTTGCGCGAAAATACCAAAAGATTTCGTTGTGAATTTTGAAACATAGAAGAACAGCATCAACGGCATCAGCAGCAGCAGGAGTTTTTTTCGAAGCATTTGCGAAAACAACGTGATATGAAATATGCAGAGAGAAAATAAGAAAAAAGAAAAATGAATAAATTTCGCTGAAACAACGTTTATCGAAATAGTTTGGTAAACACAACAATTTATCAAATCAAGTGAATCTGCAATAAGAAAAAACCTTGAACGATGAAAATACGAACGCGTCATATACGATATTCATGTTTATTATGTATCAATTGAATGTTTCCATGCAAAATAGATATCCCACAATCATTTTAATATATAACGGCCATTCCACACGAAATCAGGGAAGAGTTGTAATGTGAGGTCGCCGAATTGGCTGGAAATTGGCTTGGAGGTTGCAAAAAAACATTTCTGAGTTCACCCAGTGTAAACTTTGCAAAAAATTGAAAAAATCGAGAAAAAGGGTTAACGGTAACTAAAATCTAACTGTGAAGTAGTTGACACATTGCCAAACCTATGGTACCGTTGGAAAGGGAAGTGATGTGGCTACAAAAGCCCCCAGTATACTATCCTCTTCGGCCCCATTGGAACCTCCAAAAAAGGGTTCAAAGTATAAAATGTTAAATATCTCAAAATAGTGGGGTTTTTTGACATGTTTTTTTTGCGTTTTTCTTGCGCTTATGTGGCGCCGCTTCAGATGGAAAAATAAAATTTCGTGTATACCCCCCATTCAGTTCGTGTATCTGGCTTCGGCAGGTGAATCATATGTCATTTTTCAGTGTTTTTGTGGGAAAAATGGTCTAAAATGGCCTCTTACGACATTTTGATATGAGAAAACTGCAATTTTTTCGTCAAAATACATGAAAAAACGACCATTTTCACATCGGTTTACCTATAAATTTGGTCCGAAACTGACTTTTCTTCATAGAACAAACGAATGGTCGAAATCTGCTTACAAAATCACATTTGTGGCATAGAAAACCCACCTATAATGGGCTGTCATGATTCTATTTCCACGTAATTTTTGACGGAAAATCGATTGAGACTCATCTCAATCCTGTCTGATGGGTCTAAAAGGTCGAAAAATGACCCTGCTTCAGAGGATGTTTTCAACTCGCAA